ATTGTACAGTGGCATTAAGTGCCAAAATTGTGCCCAGTATATGGCAATAGGCTCACCCCCTATTACATGGGACTCATAACATAAATAGTGAAAAGTGGGTGTTACACTATACAGTGGCATAATGTGCACCTCTGCCTACCCCTTCGGGGATAAGAGGCGTGATGTTATGTTATGTTATATTTTACGACTTAAAATTAACTACAACTAAACCTTTTAATAAAAATAAATAATAAAAATATACCTTAATTAGGCGTCAAAGTACTCGTCCGTACCAGGGAACATTCGCAGAAGACTGGCAGCATTGCCATATTGAATGGTATATATGTGGATGCAGATGGATTGGCGATTTCAAACTTATAGTTAGAAATTATAAGTCCAGGTTTCATCACGATATTTTCCTTCACCGTTTGTCAGTGGTGTCTAAGTAATCTTAGAAAGTACATATAGCTCGGAAAATGTCACATATGTACTTGCCATTAGTAGGTTTCGAACCGATCATAAAAAGTAATAATTAATACTTACCATGATAATATTTGATGACTCTCTTTCTCTCTCTCTCTCCCTCTCTCTCTTTCTCTACACTAATATTTCCCTTGGCAACACAGCGATAAAAATACACATACTAACAATATTCCTCAAGATAATACGAATAATACAAATATAATTCTAATCACCGTCTGAATTCGTTGAGCTGGTAAAAAGGGCGGTAATCCAGCGTCACATCTACCCTCGGTTGGATATTTCAATTAGATTCAGTATTATCTCCATCTTACTGCGACCCTGGTCCAAACTGTGGTACGAGTCTGCGATATTTCTCAAGATAACGGACCTTACTTGTTATTGTCGGACGTGCATCTCATGTGAGTTATGTAGGCTGTCATAAATCTAAAACTTTAATTAGTGAGTGCTATTTAGATGTACATAATGTGTGTGTTACAAATTACAATGTAACATATTTACTAATATTCTGATATATCTAAAATATTATTTGGGCAAAGTATTAATGGGTTTAAAAAAATTGTGCCCGGTATATGGCAACATCGAACCATGGGACTCATAGCATAAATAGTCAAAAGTGGCGTTACATAGTACAGTAGCATTAAGTGCCGTAATGTGCACCTCTACCTGCCCCTTCGGGGATAACAGCTGTGATGTGATGTTATGTTTAAAAGCTTCGCTTAGCAGTTTT